TTGCTCTAATTTCTTAAGATGTATATCTCACAAATACAGTAAAATATATCTTTGAGTCTGAGGGATAGTGGTACCTCAAAGTGGTACAGAATCTCCTTCTTCCAGTAAACAAAAGCAAAACTAAAACAACCCTGCCAAAGGTTCTCCAGCACTAGAAAGACATATGGAATAGTTATAAACTCCAAAAGTGATGACCAGTTAAAGCACAGAAGATTCTGGTATAATGGTCAGGTTGATAGGATTCCCTATCCTAGCTCCTATTTCAGAAAGCAGCATTAAGAATATAGGAAGCTACAGAAATCCTGAGAATACTTCTAAATATTCTCCAACAGGAATGGGTTAAAAGGAGTGGGTTAAAAGGATGAGTAGATATGCCTGGGAAAAATGAGAAAAATAGGTGTAAATGCTATACAAACCACATCTGGTTCTTAGCAGAAGCAGGAAGAGCCCCAGATTCCCTTCAGTATATAGTGCTAAGTTGGTGGAGTGAGCCAAAGTCCAAAAGAATTGAATGCATGCCAAGCTGGGTGGAATGGAGTCATCTAATAAAGGACATCTGGTGGGAGCTCAGTAATAAGAGCAAACTTGGGGCCTCAGCAAAGACTGAAGTCTACCTCAGCTATGCTTTCTCCTTCTCTATACCCTGCTTCCTATGGCCTCTAGTTTAAGAGGGAAGAAGAAATGATCGGATAAGGTGGGAATGATACTGAAGCAAAATCACAAAACCATTTGAGAGGAAAATAAAAAGAAAGATCTGAACAAAGGAGGAGGAGGAAAATAGTTTTGGAGCTACAAAAATATACTGCACCAAAAATAAAACAAAAACCAAATATGTAAATGGATAATGGCATTGATTTTAAAGATGACACAGATAATCCAATTGAAAAAATATATTGTCCAAGGAACCAAGGCAGAGTCTCTGCTGATGCTTTGCATCCACTGAATAATCCAGTAAGGACACAGATTCAGTAACACGGTAAAACACAATTATGTAACAAAAGATTGGAATGAGAAGAAAGGGGTTACTGTAAAGAAAAAAGAAAAAAAAACCCTAAAAAACATAAAACCAGTGCAATAAACTAAACAAACTAGGAGCAAGAAAAAGGAAATTATCATAGAAATAAGGCTTTATTTATTTATAGTGAATAAAAGTAAAAGGGCAACAAGTTTTAAATAACTAGACATGCAATAGATGTGGACACTATCATCCATCGACCAGAAGGGTGATTGATATTGCTGAAGTAAAGACTCCAACAGTAAGAGAAAATAATCAAAGATATAGTACAGGAAAATTTATCTAAAGTAATTGAATGACTGAATCTTCCAGTTGTAAGAGCCCATCATAGACCAAGAAAAGATGATACAAAACTAGTGATATAAAAACACATTTAGTTAAGATATTGAATAAAGTGTGCTTTAAGTTTCTATGAAGAAAAAGCAAGTAACACACATTGGAGAATCTGACTGGTCTCAGAATAGACACTCAGCTCCCAAAATAGTATAACAAAAATTTTTCAAGACTCCATTTTTTCAAGTCAATTTGCCTTTCAAATATGAAAACAACATAAAAGCATTTCCATACATGAAATAACAGGGTCAGCAACAATTAAACTTTTTTGAAAAACCTACTTGAAGATTAAATGCAACCAATGATGAAGTGAACCAAAACAACAAAGAAATTAAGAAACCACAATAATAGGACAGGACTTCAAATACTTAATTTATTTAAATAAGAATCTAAGATGAAACAACTAGATAATTATTATTAGACCATATATAAACCAATAAAAATTAAATATTATGAAAAGAATAAACTAAGATAAAAGTAGGCATAGAGATTACTACTTACCTCATGTTTCATAGAAGCGGTTAATGATGGTGTCTAAAAAAACATGTAAGTTAAATAAATTAACCCTGACTATAATTTATTTATGATTCTAATAATTTTTTTCTTAAACTTAGAGGAATCTTATAGTACTTATTACCTCCTATGATGCAAAAACATCTGAAGTTCTAAGATTCTTTCATTTACACCAGTTGGTTTTTCTGTCACTAAATTCATCAAATTAAAATTACCAGTCACTAATTTTCAAGAACATTTACCCAAGGAATCTATTTTGAAATAATTTAGGTCTTTTCCTCCTTCATCTACATATTTTTGTCTCCATTTATCTGTATTTTCCTTTCAATACATGGAGAGAGACTGTTTAAATAACCTACATAGAATATTAAGAGTCATAATTTCTATTTTAAATAATGTATTGCTTTAGTTTTTCCTATTTCAATGTGGCTTCATTTAGTTTTAAGTCGAATATACATCATCTCTTAAAATTATCATGGAACCACTTTGAATTTATTTTGATAAACCTATCATTTCAAATTATTTTTTAAAATCCATAGGAAATCTTTGTGAACACCAAGCTACAAAAGACTAGTTTCCTACTGTATAGTACAGAACAAAGGGGATCAGCTTTAGTTAGATTCCTGAGGCAGTCCAAAGACACTGGGATTCGCACCTACCTCATTTATTATTTCCAGAGGGAACATCATTTCTTTTTTCACTCATATTTTTCTTTTACTTCTGTTAGCCATTGTTTACTTGTTTAGCTCCCTATCTAATTGCTCGCTGTAGGATTAGGAGATTGTCTAGGAAAATATTGGAGAAGAAAGCAAAATAAATGAAGGCTCATAAATTTTGGGGGAGTAAATGGATACTCATCTGTGTCAGGATAAACTAGGTGCTGCTATGGTAACAGATTGACCCAGAGTCTCAGTAATAACACAACATCGCTGTAGGATTAGGAGATTGTCTAGGAAAATATTGGAGAAGAAAGCAAAATAAATGAAGGCTCATAAATTTTGGGGGAGTAAATGGATACTCATCTGTGTCAGGATAAACTAGGTGCTGCTATGGTAACAGATTGACCCAGAGTCTCAGTAATAACACAACAAAGTCTGATGAAGTCATGAAGCTCCACTTCCAGCAGCTATTCTCCAGTGTTGACTCAAAGAGCCAGGTGTCACCTTCTAACTCTATAATCATCTTATAGGTGATCCCAACAATCACTGAAACAAAGGAAGAAAGAACACAGAGGACTCATTCTTGCATTTTTTTTCCATTGGCCTAAAAGTGAAAAACTTGAGTCTTCTTTATAGTCTATTGGCCAGAACTAGTCACATGGCCCTGATCTAAATGCAAGAGAGGCTGGGGAGTGTGGTATTCCTGTGTCAGGAAGAGAACAATAAAACAGCGTTTGGGAACTGCTTTTAATATTACCTGTTCCACATGACCTGAAAGTGAGACAAGTATAGGGTTAAACATAATTTTCTGAGAAAGGAACAGAGAACCTAAAATAATTATTACTGCATATACATGATCATAGAAAAACAAAATAGAAATCTGAGAATAAATAGCTAGCAAGAAAATTTGCTCAAAAAGTAAAACCAATCTGTTTCTTGTACCTTTTAACACTGGTCAAAATAGTGAAAATCAGGAGAAAAATCTCAATAGCTAAACAAAATAAGGCATTTTCAGACAACAGAATATCACTTAGAAATTTAGAAGAATCAGTTATATTTATCTATGAAATTCACTATATGCTAACAAATGAAACAGTCCAGATGAAATGGACAAATTTCTAGAAAGACACAAACTACCAAAACTTACCCAAGAAATTTAAAAAATGAATATACCTATAAGAAGCAAAGAATTGAATTACTAATCAAAAACATCCCACAAAGAAAATCCCAGAATCAGTTGATATCACTGGCAAATTCTACCAAATAGCTGAAGAATTAACACCAATTCTGAACTGAGAAGGAGAAAACACTTCCTAATGATGTTAGTATCACCCTACTACCAAAACCAAGGATATCACAAGGGAAAAAGGAAACTACATACTAGTATACTTTGTGAATATAGATCAACAAAATATTAACAAACCAAGTCCAGAAATACACAAAAAATTATATACCATGGTCAAGAGGAATTTATCCCAGGAATGCAAGGTTGGTTCAACATGAGAAAAATCAAACAGTGTATCATATTAATAGAATAATGAAAAAAAACACTTTTTATCTCAATGGATACAGAAAAAACAATTGAGAAAATTCAATAATTTTCATGATAAAAACACTCAGCAAATGAGGAACAGATGGGGACTTACTCAACCATATTCTGTTCTTGATACTTTTATTTAACATTGTATGGGAGGGCAACTGCACAAGAGCATGAACTAAAAGGCATCCAGATTAAAAGTAAAAAGTAAGACTATTTCTGTGGTATGCTTTTGTCTATAGAAAATACTAAAATGTCCACAAAAAAAACTATGAGAGCAAAAAATGTGTTCAGCAAGGGTGGAAGATACAAGATCATGTACAAAAGCCAATTATATTTTTATACAATATCAATGAACAATCCCAAAGTGAAATTAGGAAAATAATTCCACTTACAATAACATCAATGTACAACACTTAAGAATAAAGTGTAAGACTTGTACACAGAAAACTATAAAAATTATTAAAAGAAATTAAGAAAGACCTAAATGGATGGAAAGACATCCTATGTTCATGGAATAGAAGATTTAATATTTTTAAGATGGCAAATTCATGTCTCAAACTGATCCACACTTGCAGCACAGTCCCTTTCAAAATCTCAACTGACTTATTTGAAGAGATTGACAAACTGATTCTAAAATCACCTCATACCATATACAACTGTTATATTAAAATGAACTAAAAACCTAAATATAATTAGTAAAATTACAAACTATTAGAAGAAAACATAGGCATAAAAACCTTGTAACCTTGGTTTAGGCAATGGCTTCTTAGCTATAATATCAAAAGATTAAGTAAAATAAAAGTATAAGTAAAAACAAGAAAGTGTAGATATCAGATTTCATGGAGATTTAAAATAATTTGTACATCAAAGGACATTACTGAGAAAATAAAAAGCCAATAACATGAAAAATATTTGCAAATCAGCTATCTGATGAGTCTAGTATTCAGAAATATAAAAGAAATTTTAAACTCTACAAAAGATGAATAATCCAATTTTTAACATTTGCAAATGATGTGAGTAGACATTTTTCCAAAGAAGGTATACCAATGGATGGCTATAAGCACATGAAAAGATGCTCAACATCATTAGTCATTAGGGAAATGCAAACTAAAACCACAATGAGATAGCACTCCCCCTACTGTAGGATGGCTACAATCAGAAACACAAACAATAATAAGGATGTGAAGCTATCGGATTCTCGTGCACTGCTGATAGAGTTATAAAAATTTCCAGCCACATTACAAAACAGTTTGGCAGTTTCTCAAGCTGAAGTTACCATACTTCAAACCGGATGTTATGCAATTCCAAGATTCATGTACACCAGAGAAACGAAAACATGTTTGTACATGCCCACACAAAAACTGTGTACATGAATGGTCATAGCAGCATTGTTCTGAAAGCTAAAAGGTGGAACCCAAATGCTGATGGATGAATGGATTAACAAATTTGGTGTACCCATACAATAGAATATGCAGCCACAAAGAGAAATGAAGTACTCATCATGACACCACACAGCTGGACCTTGAGAACATTATGCTATGTGGTAACAGGCAAACACAAATGGCTTTGGATTCTATTCATATAAAATGTCAAGAATAGGCAAATCCATAGAGACACAAACTACATTAACTAGATTAATGTTTTCCAGGGGTTGAGAGAAGGGAAGAGTAGACAGCAACTGCTAATGCGGAAGGGGTTTCTTTTTGGGTGCTGAACTGTTCTGGGATTGATATTGTTGACAGTTACACAACTTTGTGAACATACTAAAAACTAGTGAATCATACATTTTAAGAGTGAATTTTATGGTACATGAACTAGATCTCACAAAAAATACTGTATGAGAAAAAAAAACAAGGCAAATTGTCAATATAGAAAAGAAAGTCAGAGACTGGAGTAGAGCATAACCCCCTCCATTGAAAAATGTATGCTTCTCCTTGTGCGCACTTACACGGAGAATGCACAGAGAAAGGACTGGAGAGATACTCAGAGAACCACTGGGGAGCTTTCAAAGGCAGGACTGTTATATGAGAATACACTCCCATGTCCTATAAAACTAAACAAAAAGAAAATGCATGAAGCTGTAAGGTAGAAAGATCAACATTCTTGTACTCCATCTTCTAGGCCCAGGTCAATTCGCCTGTTTTATGAAATCTTCCTCAAGCATTACATCTTTTACTAATTCATCTTGTCTGTACACTTACAATCTGCACATTACATGCTACATAATGCAGTGCCTAATCCTATGTTTAAATGAACCAATCACACATATGAAAACACTCACTTAACTGTAAAATGCAATACAAATATGGCACCGTGGTGGGCAGAGTGTTTTGGCACTGTTGGTATGAGATCAAGGAGGGCAACTCTAAAATGGGAGGTACAAGTCAGGAGCTGGAGAAGCGGGGCTGGACGCTAAGTCTGAGTCCTTAAAATAACAGTGATGTCAGGCATCCAACTGAGTTTGCGGGTTAATATAAAGACAGACCTCAAATCCAGCAATTTCTGGGCAAATCAATTTCGAGCAAGCAGTGTTTGGTAAGCAAGCAATTGTAGTAAATCCAGAATTCACAAAATTCTGCTACTCTTTAAAGAAAAAAATGCAACAAAATAAAAACCTCATAATTGTCTTAAAGACAAAGTTCTTATACACAGTACTTACCTCTGTATTCATATTCACGTACCTGTTATCCTCGATTCCCAATTAGATTTCAAGATTGCCACCTACCAAGATTGTTGGATTTAGGAAAAAATGCTCCTATTTATTGTACAGCCTCTAACACTTACTGATTTGTGCACCTGATTAATTTTGTTGATTTAACTGACAGACTGACCAGTTAGTTTACACTGGGCTTGAAAAATGACAGCTGATTTTTCAAAAATATTGAGTCTGATTTGATTAAACGCATGATGACCAAATAAAACATGTGGCATGGGTTTCACACGGGTCATCAGAAATCCGCCTGGGCAATGAAGGAGGAGAGGGAATTTACCTAACTGCCCCCAACAGCCAAAGTAGGACCAGACTCTTAAAAAGAACCCCTCTTCCTAACCTATACTAATGTGATTATGATTATGGTTATGATTAATGATCTACTAATGGCAGGTAACACGTTTGAAGGGTATACGCATTAAGCAAGCACCTAAACATTTTTACGTATATCATCTCATTTGATAATCACAATGAGCCTATGCAGTGGGTACTGTGACAGCACTTACTACGTGAAGGAGAAAGCTAAGTTGGGTGAATATAAACAACTTGTCCCTGATCCAGAGCTTGTCCACCACCCAGGAGTGAAAATGTGATTCCATTTCAAGCCTGCCTAACCCTCAAACTCACGTTCTGTAACAGTATGACATTCTAGCTACATAATATTTAGTATTTGGATATTAAAAAGATCTGGATTCCTATGTGATCCCACCATGGTAGTCTGCTTCAGGTCCTAAAACAAAACCTATGTTCAGGGGACAAAGCCAGTTAAGGTCGTCTCCCACCCCAGAAAACTATCCGCTGAACTAGTGATTCTGCAGACAACTTTTCCTGTCGAGGCTCATGTTGGCCCAAGGGGCCCCCCTCTTCCGTCCTTACCGGGTCCATCGGCTTCCTGCACCGATGCAAACAAGTGTGAGTCTAGAGGAAATGACCTGTCACGATCAAAACCGTCAGAAACTCGCTTTCTCTCCTCGTTCCCCCTCGTCTTCCCACTTTTCGTCTGCTTATTCACTGACTGTATTTCATATGTCTCATTATTAGAGAGATTTTCTAACACATCAAAAAAGAGCAAGACAGTTTGACCTAAAGATGGAAGTTTTCAACTTTCTGTTTGGGCAGAATAACCAGGAAGCGTGTTCAGCACAAAAATGCCAACATCAGCCGCCTCCCGAAGGGTAATTCTGCGAATTGTTTCAGGGATCACAGAATCCATTTGAACAGACGGAAGCACTTTGATCCAACAGGTGAGGTTTCATTGACTGTCGCTTGGCATTTCAGGCACCTCAGTAGTCCTAGAAGGAAGGAATAGACTTCTCAAATTTGTCTGGAATTAATAACACCATGAATATATTGAATATGTAATTAATAACACTTTAAAATGGGAAAACAATAGGTTCCTATTCCGTAGAGCTTGAGAGGGAGATGCAGCATGACATTCATGTGCACAGAAAATTCGTGGGAGAGGTAAAACCTGACTACTTTACCTTTATGATTTATAAGGAAAAGATTTTCAAAAAGAGTGTGAGAGGAAGAAAAAAAAGGCTAAAGAGGAAAATTAGGCCATTCCTAAGAAATCAAAGTTTATTGGACTAAAAATCAGAAAAGATGCTAAATAAAAAAGAAATGAATTCACATAAATCAGAAAGGACCTATCAGTGTTAATGGAGAGAAGCACACAGACAAAAGCCCCTAGTGCACAAAGCAGGGGGCCCCCGCTCCGTCCCAGGCTTCAGGCAAACCACAAGTGCGCGAAGGGAATATGGGGACGACCCTGGCAGCGGAAATCACCCTTCAAAGGCGAAATCCTTTTTCTCTCTGTTAACCTTTTACTCAAGACATTCCTCTTGGAATTCAGCAGATCTTTTGAAAAGAAGATACAAACACTGACCTCTCGTCTGCCTGCGTTGCGTCTGTCTCTGCACCTCGGGGATGTTATTGGGCACACCCATTGATTTCCTTCTTTACCTTTTAATCCATGACCCAAGTTCACCACCTCAGAGCTTCAAGAAGCCCACACCTTCCATCCATCAGCACAGATCTGCAAAAACATTTTTCACCGAGCGAGGGGCTGACTTATGGCAGATGATGTAATGTGTTCATGCTTTACACCACCTCCCTGACGAGTCTCAAAGATGTATCTACATATGATTGGCAGCCTGATTAGTACCTGCAAACATCCTGCGTACCGCCGTCCCCACCTCGTGCCAGTGACACGTTCTACCATTTGAGTTATGACCCCAGTGGTATGTTGGCCCGGAACAGGAGATGATGGGTGTCTTTTTCTTTTTCTTTTTCCCTTTTCTTTCCAGTGGGGCTAAAACCAGCAGGGAATCTTCATTAAAATTCACCATAAGGCCCATTTGTTTGCCATTTCCCTTCCCCCAAAGCCCATATCTGTCCTACCCTGCTGGGAACTTCACCCAGAGGAGGACTGACCCGCAGAAATCTCACTGCCACGTCGAGGTTCACAGTCCAGGGAAACATTCCCAGCCGCTCCTGTCTGTCAAATAAAGATGACAAATATTTACCGTCTCTGGACACCCTTCCGGTTAGTTTTATATTCACAATTTGATTTTATTCTGTATTTTAGGAAACAAGATTTCTTTCCTCATGAACAGGTGCAAATAAAGCTGACATTTTAGAACACTCCTCAAAGACAAGAACTAAGAGGATGTGGGCTTGCACAGTGTCAGCTCTCACAGGACACCAGCATCAGAGGGCACGTTTTTGAGGGGGTCATGGTTGACGGGCACATTCTGCCCCCCTATCCCAATGAGACACAACTACACCAGAGTCACACTTCATATTCATCTCTAGGAACATCTGGCCCATGTCTAACATTTAATTTCCACACCATTAGAGTCAAACAATACATGTACATCAGTAGATAATGTAATGCATTATCACGCAAGGCAGAGAGTAGCAATTTATTAGCCTAATTTAAAATAGCCTTCAGCAAAAAATGGTGCATCTTAATTCAGAGTTCTGAATGGAATGACATGTTTTCCAGTAAAATTCAAAAGTATATCCTCAGACATGCTTTGGAAAAACTTTCCTGCATATACCATCTTTTACATTATTCAAGGATGAAATATCAATTCTGTCTTTTATGTTCTAAACCAATTTCATCCATAATAACACAGAAAGAGATAACAGCCATAGGAGAGAGGAAAAAAGGAGCTCCTTAGAACATTAGTAGCCCCCACATCTTTATTTCTTCGAAATCACAACTGGCATGTGTACGTTACTCAGAATTTCTTTGCATACAATTAAAAATCAGAGAAAATTGCTTGCTTTGAATGTAGCATGAAATTTGCTTCTCTTTCCTTTACAACATATTACTATTTTAGGCTTATAGACAATGCATAGGTAAAGTCTTATTTATCTTTGTAGAAGAATGTTGTAACTTTTATAAGGATTTATATGATGTACTCTTAGAAAGTAGCTTAAATTATGCAGCTGCACAAACCATTATTATTATTAAAAACAGACATACTCAAATATCTTCCCAGTTCTTATTAATGAAAATCAACATCTAGTTTTTACACACGAATGTCTGGTCTAGAAAGATGTGCAGTACTCGTCACCACTGATAGAAAACATTTCCAGCCCCTTAAATGTTACACATGGAAATAATAGCATATACTTATAGCATGGATATGGCAATATAAATTCTGAATTCTGCGACTAACCAAAGCATGAGGCACAAAAAGCATATAACCTTTCAATCTCAAAAGAGGTCAGCACAATTTGTTATCTTGGGGGGCTCAAGAGGGTGAATCCGATATGGACCTTCCTTTGCCAATGATGTGCAAGGTCCATGGCTGGCCAGTTTCTATGACAAATGCATGCACTCAGATTTTCATGAGCCCAGAGACTAATGAGGGGAGTCAGAGATGCACATACATAACCAGAGGACATAATATAAAGCGCTAAGAGCCGTAAGAAAAGTGGAAAAAGTGCTTTGGCACATGAAGGAGAGAGGGATTATTTCAAGGCAACAAAAAAGCTTCAAAAAAGAATTAACTCCATGCTGGGATTTAGTGGACCGGTTGGCATATACTGGATATGCCACTGGACATGTTCAATGGTACAGCCCAGAGGGCAAGACCCTGGCCCTTTAAGAGAGTCACTGAGGCAGTTCATTAGGCCTGGTATACCAGAGTTAATAGGGACCACCCTGCCCCCATCCCCATATCTCCTACCAAATTTTCTCCTGATAACCCAAATCTTTTAGCTCAGATTCATCAGTTAGGTTAAAAACATTTGCTCCCGTCCAGCTGTTGAGATAGCCTGCTTGAAACCTATAATTGACTAACATTCTGTTCCCCCTCTTCCACTCTGGCATCGTGACATGTGGACAGTTTGTTCTGGCACCGCCACCACCTGCCCTGTGACTAGCGGAGGAGAAGATGCAGGGACCGGGACCGGCCGGGTTGGTGATGTTCAGCTCTGCCCCTTGATGGACTGAACTTCCAAACTGTAGTTACCCTTGACGGTCTTCATATCAGTCTGTGGCTTCATTACTTCACTTTAACCCCAGAAGGCTTCAATTTATTACAGTTCTACGAAATTTGCCAACAACCTCAAATACATATTTACACGTGCCTTTTCCTACACCAGCCCCTGACACAGACGTTTATGCAAATTACGTTCTCCAGTCCTCCAAAGTTTCCTAACACTGGGCATGTATAGTCATCTTGGGTTTCATCTTTCTGTTATATATTATAATCAATGTGTTATAGTAAAATAAAAATAAGGGTAAAAAGCTTAAAGTAAAAATCTACTTCCCCAATCTTCATTCCCAAGCCCAGGCTCACTTCCAGAGATAATTACATGCACATGTTTCTAATTTTAGTTCTATTAATCATCATATACATATAACTACTAGGCTTTTGATAGCTTACATGGGCTCCATTCTAGAAAGAAGAGGAATTTAGTTCAGGTACTAGAGTCTTCCCTCATCTCCATTCTGGTTTATATTATATTATCATTTTCTATTCTTCAGGTAATTATTTTCATAATTTTAAGTGATACTGGTTCTTCAGTTTTGAAACCATCTCCACCATGTAAGATTCTTTCTTCTGTATTAATAGAGTGCCCACAATGATGAAATGCTGGGCCCAATTCTGGCAAAAAATGTAAAAAGAAAGACATAAGGAGCATTTATAATAAATAGTTTGATATTATAATACTTTAGTACATTTTGCCAGAGGGATGAGTAAAACTAGACATAGACCCTGTCACCAGGGAAACAATCAGCTGATGAAAAAGGCAAAGGTCAACCAACAATAACACAGATAAACCACAATGACTCATGCTGCCCATAAGTTCAGAGTTCTGAGAATGCCTATTAAGGAGGTCAGGGATGACTTCTCAGAAGAGGGTACCCTTGATAAGAAATCTGAAGGTCATGTAGGATTTAACTATGGGGAAAATGGCAATAAGAGCATTCCAGGCAGAGGAACACTGCATGCAAAGGCCCTGTGGCACAGAAGTCGTGGTGAATCTGATATAAACAAAGCCAATGGGAGTCCAGTGGAGAAAGCTAGACAGAGCAAAGAGCTAAAACAAATAGGTTGGCTGTGCAGAGCTCTGCAGAGTTTTTGAAAGAGTTTTGCCTTTATCCTAAGAGCCAGGGGAAGGCACTTAAGCAGAGGCAAATATGATCAGAATACAATTTCAAACAGTTCGCCCCAACTATAGCTGCCAGATATGAATAAGCTGAGGTGTTTTTGTTTTCCACTTGGCTCTTACTTCTGTTAGTCATAACCTTACTTTTAAATTACCAAGATTTTTGTTATTTTCATTTACTTTATTATTGTACATGAACCTTCAGTGTTTTCCCTAAGTTGATTAGAAATGTTAAAAAGCAACAGTATAATAAAAATACCTATTACTCTATGACCCAGCAATCCCACCCCTAGGTGTTTACTCACACACAAGAGTGCACACAGCATTGGAATACCAAGGAAGGTCCAAAAGGAGAATGGCTAACTTGTGGTGTATAAATGAAGTGACATATTAAATACTACACAGCAATGAAAAAAGGACGAACTACTGGCAAACACAGTGATACGAATGACTTACAGCAGAAGCCAGACGCAAAATAGCACACACCATAGGCCTGCATTTAGAGGAGGTTCAAGAACAGACCAAACTCAGGAATGGACAAGTGGGAACGGTGGTTACCACTTGACTGGAGAAGGGCATAAAGGCACCTCTGGGGAGCTGGAAATGTTTGATATTTTGATCTTGGTAGTCATTACTTAGGTTTGTATCTCCTTAAAATTCATTAAACCTTATCAAGATTGGTGAATCTGATGCTCATTAGCCTCTATGTAGTCTACCTGAAAAAAAATGTAAAAAGAAAGATATAAGGAGCATTTATAATAAATAGTTTGATATTATAATACTTTAGTACATTTGGCATATATTCATGTGTATCTCTCTAAGGAGACTATTACAAGAGGAAGGGGAAATTGATTTTTTAATTGTTTTATTCTATAATTTTCTCAGTCATGCCATATGGACAGTGTATTTTCAAAGTCCTTGCATGATAGAAAATGTCTTTATTTCACTCTCTCATTTTATTAATCGTTTGGGTCCAGATCATTTTCCCTCAGAACATTGAAGGGATTGTTCCATTATTTGCTAGAATATCATGTTGTTAATTAAAAGGCTAAAGTTATTCTTATTTTTATAACTTTTAAAATTTTCTTTGAAAGCCTTAAGGAGCCTTCCTTTACACTCAGAGTTATGCAATTTCACTGTAATGCATGTAGATTATGTATGAGATTTCTATTGCTGCTTAACAACCCCAGATTAAGCAGTTTAAAAAACATACCTCTTGTAGTTTCTATGGGTCAAAAGTCTAGGAATGGCTTAGCTGATTCCCCTGCTCAGGGTCTTACATGGCTAAAATTCAGGTGTTTGCTGGGCTGTCTTCTCATACGGATGCTCAGCTATGGAAAGATTTACTTCCATGGTCATTCAGGTTGTTGGCAGAATTTACTCCCTTGAGTCTGTGGAATTCGTGGTGGTTTTTGTTTTTTCACAGGCAGCAGAAGAATGAGAGATTCTAGTCTCTAAGTTCAGGGAATTGTAAACCCACCTTTAAAGGGCTCATTTGATTAGGTCAGGCACACCCAGGAGATTATCCTAGGTATGGATGACTCAACTCAAAGTCAAACTGTTTAGGCACCTTAATTATATCTGTAAAATCTTTTCACATTTAATGTGATGTAGCGTGGATGAAACACCCACCCCTGCTCAAGGGGGGATTTCCCAAGGCATGCACCCGAAGGGGTGGGGATCTTGGAGGTCATCTTAAAATACTACTTACCATAGAGTTTTTAAATTACTTTTCATTCTTTTTGATACTCATTTCCATATCCACAAAATTCTGAATAAACTGAGCTCAATAAATACGTTTTAAAATTAATACACCATTACTTAGTAGCCACTTTCAAATCTGAAGATGTCAGCTTTTGCTCAGAGAA